CTATTTTGATCACATGTGAACGAATGTGGCAACCGTGCTGAAAATGTCGATTATTACCAAGAATGATAGAATACATCCGTGCACCGTGGATTATTACAGCAGGAAGCAGAAACGTACGGCATCCCCATTGCACCTTACGTCAGTATAACAGCTGATCATGTTTTGCCTATTCTGTGAATAGTGAAGGAGACAGAGAAGAAGAAGAAAACGGAGGAAATAAATGGCCGATTGTGAAAACAAAAAGGATGTATTTATAAAAACAATTGCATCCTAGTTTGGTGTGCCACATGGAAGATGTTAGCTGATGACATTGTAGATATCGATGACGATACAACTGTGATACAAGAAAAGCACATACTAAGAACTAATGCCGTGTATAAAGTCAGACTAAAAAAGTTGGATTAATTTTATAAATTGAACTGTGGTGGTGTATAGCGGTGACAACACTACTAGAAACAATTGCGTTGATCAGGTAACGCAGCGCTCAGCAAAAATAACTAACCACATATCGAAAAAAATTATCACTAGTTGTGTTTTCGTATTCTCCGGCAAAAAATATCCGGTAACTTGCCAGTAACCAAATTTCGGAGAGTAAGCCAATATTTACTCCCAATGAGTGAAATATGCAAGAAAGTACGTAAACGCAAAACCAGCAAATAGTTGCTGGTTTTAAGAACAGCTGATTAATTTGTTATTTTCCGATGCAATTTACTTAGAAAACTAGCATTTTCCATCTTATTATATACTTAAATAGGTTTATTTTGTCAATTGCAACTCTAAAAGCCCACATACAATTATTTTGTTAATGTGAATTACATTAAGCATCATGCCATCAGCTGTTTTTCTTACTAGCAAATAGTTGCTAGTAAAAATTTATCCAGTAAAAATCCAGTAAAACTTGCAAGTTCAGCTGTCATTTTTGCTCTCTCAATTTCCCCTCTTTTGCTGGTGTTTGTGTACAAAAACGACATCCAGCAAAAAACCAGTAAAATTAGCACTGGATTTCCTGGATAGTACGTACACGAACAGGGCTACTAGCTACTCGTTAATTTATCACAGTGTGGGGTGCCTGTCGTACGTTCAAATTTTTTTTTGATATTTGGATCATGATCCATATTGATGGATTTCGAATTAGTTATGGCAAATCTGGCAATGTGGTAGGAATGTTCGATATTTAAGAAACTATCGATATCATGAATCGATTTAATTCATTGCATGTAATATCGATACGGCGATATATCGGCCTGAACAATATCGATATCGGAAAAATCGATGTTGAAAATCCTACTCCCAATTGAACAGAATATTAGACCTGCTTATCAACTTACATCACATTCCTACTATGTGGCGGGCATGCAACTAGATGTTGCATTTTTTTAGGAGCACCTGCAATACGTTTGGAGATTTTTGGCGATCGAAATTAGCGATAGCAAATGTTGGAATCCGGCTGCTGATAACAAATTACTTGTAGCAAAGAATCTAAAGCTATATAATTAAAATATAATATATGAAGTAGATGTACGTTCTTTGATTCTAATACTTGGCATTCAAAATCATAACTTTTAAAAGGAGCTCGCACGGGCGATTTTGCGTTCAACTTTTGCTTTTAACTCACGCAGTGGTGCACGAAAAAAAGTTGAATGGCTAAATATTGGCTGGCGACCAACTTTGTTGAAAGCGATTAGTTGAAAGGCCGTTCAACCAAAAGTAGAATGCAAAGTTGAACAGTGCAAACGCCTTTTTATGGCGAATATTTTGATATTTTTAGCCATTCAATTTTTTTTTCGTGCAACCCTGTGTGAGTTGAATGCAAAAGTTGCCTGAAAAATCGCCCGTGCGAACACCTTTTTAACTTCACCTTGTAAGTATACTGTGAACTGTTAGTTTTTCCTGAAGAAGCACCAGTGACGAATTGATAAATTGATTTCGGAAAAAGTTACGTCAAAAATTAATTTTCACATATTTATTAATTAACTGCACTAAACTTAACGAACTTGTACAAGAGTGAGAGTGGTCAAAGAAAGTAAATTTCACGGCAATTATTGTGGAACAACTCCAACACTTAAACGCAAAGCAACGATGGCGGAATCAATTGTTCAAGATTGGCTGGCAGATTACCGCCGCGTACAAAGTCAACCTGCTGAAGTGATGGCCTTTGCTGTGGAACATGACACCGACCCTGAAATCGCTGAAGCCATTTATACAATATTCAGTGAGAGACAACGCCATGAAGCATTGGTTAATGACATATGCCAGCAATTGTTGGCCTTTTATCGCGCTCCGGAGGACACACTTCGTAAATTTCCTTTACAGTTCATTCCAGTGCTAATTTATACGTACCTGCACGCAGTCGCTGCTGGTGACAAAAAGGGGGCTCGAAGTGTCGAGACCCTGCTTATTTGCATTTATAATGCGGAAGTATCGACAGAAGATGGTGGGCAACGGGTAGTCACATTCCGTATGCCAATACTGGCGCAAGCGTCGGTCTATCATGAAGAAAAAAATCTGCCGATGACTGATTTACGCCGATGGGAAGAGAACTGCAATCGAGAAATTAAATGGGGGCCCCACCCGCAGATCGAGGCTATTACAGCTCAGAATAGACTGCGAATAATGACTGCATTAATGTTCTGCTACAATCAGCAAGTAAGCCTTACGCAAAAATCAGCATTAATACATCTGTGCCGCGTAGCATCACAATTAGTCAATCAAGGGTTCTCCAAGCAACACGCACATCGAATCTCTTATGGGTAAGTTAACGAAATGCATATGTATTCCTAATTGAGCAACTAAAATTATTAAATAATTTGTATAGTTCTGATTCGAGTGGCACACTTGTACCCAAGTCAATAACACCGCGCATTCCACTTTCCTCATCATTCCTGGTAGAGTTGGTCCATGCTATTTACTTTGCGATGTTTAATGGGTTTGGAACTGTNGGATTCGAGTGGCACACTTGTACCCAAGTCAATAACACCGCGCATTCCACTTTCCTCATCATTCCTGGTGGAGTTGGTCCATGCTATTTACTTTGCGATGTTTAATGGGTTTGGAACTGTGGCCATACAAACATTGGACGATATACATCATCGTGCCTGTTTTGAAATGTATACGGAGCTTATACTGGTAACAAGCGCCGTGCGGAATTCACTCCACGCGAACCCCTCAGGTCAGCCTAGCGATGGACCAATGGGACTTAGTGTGGCACTCACACCGGCAACAACAACTGTGACCACCGCCATATCGAAATCGATGATCACGAATGCATCATTCCGTACTAAAAAGTTGCCTGATGATATTCCTATACAAGTTCAGGATCTAACCATGCCACAAGCACCTCCAATGTTGCCTAGTGTTACCGAAGAAGTCGATCCTAAGGATCAACAACAAACACAAAACACATCATCGCGTAACTCCATCATACGCCCAAGCATGGAAGGTATTAAGGCGCAAGCACATAAAGCGTTAATTGCTGGATTTAAAAAATCTAAAGATAAAGAAAAAGATAAAGATAAAGACAAAGAGAAAGACAAGGATGGGAAGAGTGGTGGTGCTGGTGCAGCAATTGAGCCTCCGAAACCTCCACTGCGAAAATTCGAAAAACATACGCAACGCAACTCATTACTACAATTGCAAGCTGAGGGCTCCAATATGGCGACAACTGATTTTGAAAAGAGTCCTTCAGCAGGCCTTAAGGGCAAAGCCTATGATACAGTGGATACATCGGAACTACTGCCCATGCAAACGTTACTTGCTAATGAGAATGGCAGTGGTAGCTTTAGTATTGACAGTGAACTAAATGGGGGCGGTATTGGAGGTGGTAATGTGATGACTAATACTAGCGTAGCAAGCAACACGAATTCAATTACGAGCAGTGACTTAATAACGAAAAGCTTTGATTCGAGTATTGAAATGCCGCAAATTGTTGGTGGCGTGGTTGTCGGGAGCAATACTAATGTAGGAGATGTGAGTATGGATTAGTGCATCTAGGCTTCCAGACATTTTAGTTTTGCTGCGATTTCTTGAGACAGGAAAGCAATAAGAGATTATTGCATTTGTGCCAAATGTTGGGGCCATGCTTCCAGCATTTATTAATGAATGTATTTTGAGCGAAAATTTTACTTCAAGCTGTTTAATATTACAATAACTATTTGCAATTCTCTTAGTTTAACAACAAAAACAAATTACATGTAAAAAAATTGTTGCTAGGTGTAAATCGAATGAATGGAGAAGTGGTGACTAGGTTTAATGAGGCTTAAAAGTTAGGTCTATAACACATGAACAAAGAACTCTAAGGTATTTGTGTGGCTATTTTTTATGTTTTCACATGGAATTGAAGGCGCATAAATTAGAAATATGTGAAAATCTGTTAGAAAGATATTGAATGAGTAATTTGACAAATGTGTACTTAAATAATTTATTTTCGCAATGAAAGCATATGCATATGCACGTATGTATGTATATACATATATGCATGGATCTAATACGAATATTACATATGAGCACAAAAAGATTGCATGCTCCACGACAAATTCGCTCCTTTTTGCAAAATATGTAGTAAACCATTTGAGAGTGCGATATTTATTCGTAGATATGTATGTAAATTTTTTTTTTAACCGACTTAACAAAAAGGAAAAGGTTATCAATTCGTCGAAACATTTTTTGTATGTAAGTTACCGCATAACTCTGGACCAAGTTAACCGATTTCAATAATTCTTTTTTTTAAAGGAAAGGTGTTACCTCACAGGTGTTCCATACTAATTTGGTTTAAATACGAGCATCGGTTCAAGAAGAAATTAACGATAATCTTAAATTTGTTTATAAGAATTGAAGTCGGTTTTGTTTTTTGATTAAAATTACTTGTTAATATTTTGAGTTTAAATTTCTGTGTTTTAGTCAATTAGATTTTTTCATTTCGAACTTCTCACGACTCTTACCTACTGTTCAAATAATAAGCAATAGTCAATAAGCTAGTTACGAAAAATATAATCTTTTAAGAATTATAAATTTTAATCCATAAATGTATGTATGTATATTTAAATGTACGTATTCAATGTTACCTAACAAAATGTTATCTATATTATTTAATTATAATGATACAACTAATAAATTACGGAGGTTGAATTTAAAAAATATCAGTTGTATTATTTTCCAAATTATCTCCTCCGAAACTTTGATTGCAAAAAAATTCGCGGCACATCGATGCCCTGTTTCACATTCAATGTTCTCCTGTGAACGTACGAGTTTTCAATTACCTCAAATTTGCCGGAATTTGTAAACAATGCTGCTAGTTCCTTCTCAGCAAAGAAGTAACTTCTGGTTCCATCTTGGCGCATGTAAAAATTTTCAGCAATCTTGTTTCCTGGCTTGAAACGCAGCTGTGCCATATCGTAACGTCCATAATCGCGAAAGAGCACAACCCCACCCGGCTTCAGGAGCCGATAAATATTTTCTATAACTGTGGCAAATTTATCAGGATGTATTGCGGATAATACAAATATCATTGTAACAATATCCAGCGAACACGCTGATATGTACGCGTGCATTTGCTTCGTGGTAATGTCACACTGGAAGGCGCACATGCGGTGCTCATCGTATAGTGGATTAGAACGCAGAAATTCAATAGCGCGTGGCGAAAAATCGCAAGCGTAATAAAACCAACTATGTATACCGGAATATTTTTCTTTTTGCTCTTCTATTAGTGGAAAAATTAAATTTCCAACTCCGCAACCGACTTCGAATAGATGCCGTGGACATTTCGCATCACTGAAGCTCTCTTGCCCATTTCGATCCTGGGTTCCTTCCAATAATTCCTCAAACTCACGTGTAGTCCAACGTCGGTCTTTGAAAAAATGTGTTTCATTGCGTTTATAGAAAATGTCCCAATGACGTTGAGCCTCTTCCTCGAGCTTCTTAGCTTTAAACTCTGTCACGAGGCGGCTATCTTGTGCCCGCAGCCGATTTTTTTCTTCATCCGTAAGACACTTTTCAGCTGTTGTAAATATGTCCTTAATCAGTACATCTGAATTTGGAACCTCACCTTCCATCATGCCGCAGATCACCAACGGTGTTTTCCACAATGATCACCACTCCTCATCTGGTCCTGCCGGCTGGTTTAGAACACCTAAAAAAGTCCAACACTGACAGTATTGTGAATAGTGCACAAGAAGAAGAACAAAAACAAAAGGGCTGTTCAGGATGTTGTGGAAATGCTCTTGAACTTGCAGTTGGAAGTGCACTTGCAATTTTTATGCTTGCTGCCATGGCAAGCGTGTGCATTTAAGTCTATGCACGTTTTCGATGAAAACTACTTGAAAACACACCGTCGCCTGGGTAAAAATTGTCGTAAGCGCAATTTTGACGATTTTTAGTTCTAGGTGCAGTTATATATTTTGAAATAAGGACTTTCGATTGGCGTTATCAGTTTTTGGATATCTCCTTTAGTTTCGGAGATATTGACTACAATTTTTTCGATAGTTTGTAGAAATTTAGTTAGTGATGCAGTCATATTAAACTAATCAATATCTTAAAAATAGCGTTCTCCATTGTTGAATACCTCATTTAGCTTCCGAGATATTGAGTAAAAAGTGTCGTTAATTTAGTAAAAGATTTGATCACATTTTGTCGTCATACAAAGTGGCTGCCAAATTTTGGACAAAAGACGCTTACGACAAAATTTTACTAAAGAAAATCCTTCATAAACTCAAAACTAATTAACAATAAACATTAAAAATTAAATAATTTAAGAATTTTGTGAACTAGTAACATTTTCAGAGACTTTGGAGAAAATCTATTTTCACCTTTTTGAGCAATTGCATTCCAAACTTCAACCGCGATGCCGTAATTAACATACGACAATCTTTTATACGGCGTTTCCACAGATCGCAACTCGCTCTCTCATTCGTAATTCGCTCTCCCATTCGTCATTCGCCTTGCCAATTATCTTCCGAATTACGTAATTCGCCATACAAAATTTTTTATATACAGCGTGAGCGTGAACGTTCGCAAAGGCAAAGAATTCCATTTGTTTTCTTATGGACGCTTACACACATCTGTCAAAACTTACCGTTCACATGAGAATGCTTTGCGTACGCACACAGTTGAGTGTGAGCTCGAAAAAAGGCATGTTATGCATTTTAAATTAGTTTTTATTGTATAATTCTGAAAGATATTTTAATTCTCTATCTTTTCATGTGTCAACTATAGCAAAAAGTTGAGTAAAAACGAAAATATTGGTCAACATAAAAAGCTCACGCTCACGCTCGCATTGAACTGTATATCAGGCTTTAGAAAACGAATTACGAAGCGTGGAAACATCGTATTACCGAGGCGACGACACGTTCCACTCATTTCAATCGGTGTCTTCACTGTTTACATTTATCAGCTGTTCATTTGACAGCACATTCATCAAGCCATTTCTAAAGGCTCTGTTATGCATACTTGGCATTGCTTGAGAGTTGTCACATAAGGAATCTGTTAAATGAGCTTCGCGTGTAAGCGGTTACCCAACGCACAGTATTACATACGTAAAAGTCTGTTGGTTTTTGATTTCTACGTAAAAATGGTATAGCAGTGCATGCAATGCCAAGTATGCATAACAGAGCCTTAAGACGTAATTGTTGGGTCCAACAGTTTCGTAGCAGTTGAGCTAAACAGCCCGTCTAATGAACGCGCCCATTGAGAGTTACATTACCGTCGAAACACTGTCNTTATCAGGCTTTAGAAAACGAATTACGAAGCGTGGAAACATCGTATTACCTAGGCGACGACACGTTCCACTCATTACAATCGGTGTCTTCACTGTTTACATTTATCAGCTGTTCATTTGACAGCACATTCATCAAGCCATTTCTAAGACGTAATTGTTGGGTCCAACAGTTTCGTAGCAGTTGAGCTAAACAGCCACGTCTAATGAACGCGCCCATTGAGAGTTACATTACCGTCGAAACACTGTCAATATTAGAACACCCGCCAGCATATGGAATTGAAGACAGCCAAAGCGAAATGCGAAGTTTGCTCGGCGGCGTTTAGTGGCGATAGATTTATTCCTATCGCTCTGCTGGGCGATGGCGGCAGTACATGCCAAAGGGGGCCGTATGTTTTTTTTTTTGCTTTCAAGAATTTAGAAGAAATCAACATACAACACGAGCTATATTTGTTGGTTGAGAAATACAGTGATTGATTTTTTAAATCTGGCTTAAAATAAAATAATTTATAATCAGTCTCATTGCATAAGTCGCAAATAAGGCTAAATTGTACGACTCGACAACAGTAGCATTGGGTATTGTCGTACTGAAGTAAGTAAGCGACCAAAATCGTCGAAAATTATATAGTGCTGCAAAAGTTTTTCCGTTTTAATACACTAGTTGAGTGGAAATTTTAGCCAATGACGTGAAACTTTCGATACGATTCGACTCTCGAAAAACGACTTGCATTCGACACGACTCTCGCAATGAGTGTGAATAACTCCCCCTCGCCTCATATATATATATATATTTTATCATTTCATCAATTCTAAATATAGTTTTGTTTTTCAAAATATGGTCACCTAAATTATAAGTGCGACGGAATGGTATCAGCTGTTTTCGCTACCGCTCTAATTCTGTTAAAGTAGGCGNTTTCAAAATATGGTCACCTAAATTATAAGTGCGACGGAATGGTATGAGCTGTTTTCGCTACCGCTCTAATTCTGTTAAAGTAGGCGAAATAGCTGGGCGAACGGCGAAAGACGCCTCGCACAATTCGGCGAACTTCGTCGTTCTCCGGGTATTGTGTTTCAAGCATTAAAGTCGATGTTTAAAAAATCGTTGAAATTGACATCACATATCGTCAATCTAGTGATTTAAAAATTATTAAAACTCGATTGCAAACATGGAATTTCAGGCCGACTTTATCGATGTGTCAAAAACATCGATGTATCGTTTGCATTCCTAAAAGGAGAACGAAATAATTTTTTCTAGATATATTTTTGTAAACAATTGACATTTTAAATTGTATTGACTTGATTTGATTAATAATATAGAGCGAATATACATACCTATGGACACAGAAGCTTCTTCAAGTTCNAATTTAAAAATTATTAAAACTCGATTGCAAACATGGAATTTCAGGCAGACTTTATCGATGTGTCAAAAGCATCGATGTATTGTTTGCATTCCTAAAAGGAAAACGAAATAATTTTTTCTAGATATATTTTTGTAAACAATTGACATTTTAAATTGTATTGACTTGATTTGATTCATAAATATAGAGCGAATATACATACCTATGGACACAGAAGCTTCTTCAAGTTCTATATTCTGCGACCCTGGCGACTCAAAAGCTCATTCTAACATTGAAGTGCTCAATGTAAATAATGTGGATTCTGCAGGCGGGGTGGTGTTGAATGATGAAAAGCTGCTAGAATTTATACAGATGTATCCATTTTTATACAATCCACGCGTACGCCCATTTGAGGATCCCGATTATGACGAATGGGCATGGAACCGCATTACATCAGCGTTCAATGTGACCTATACGGGATTCCTGCCACCAGTCCTTTTCACCAAAGCGGACTTACAGCGTCGCTGGAACAAACTACAACCAATTATAAAGAAAATGGCGAAAATGCTAGATTTAACTGCAATACCAGAACCCTTGCGGCAGCTAATTGTAAAGATCAGTATTCAGCTCGAGGATCAATTTACCGACGTTCGAGTAAATAGTTTATCGCCTGCGCAACAAATCATTAACGATAATATGAAAATGGTCGAACAATTGCCACTGAATAAACGACTACAGTTGGAAGCTGAAATGATGGAATTGATATTAAGTGGCGAATTGGAAGCTAAAGCCACAGTCAAGTTAACGGAGTGGAATTTACAAAGCGTGGAAGAGGAATACGATGAATTGCTCAATTTGATGAACATTAAGGAACTTATTGTATTAAAATCTACCGATACGCCCTTAATGAATGAAGCGATAGATAATTCTCAGGAACAGTTGGTTTCAAGTACTACGTCGAATGCATCATGTGAAATTAACTTGGCCAGTGATAGTAGCTCGGACGCAAAATATGAAGGGACAAATGTTATAGATTTCGAAGCTGAAATGGGCGACGGCACACAAATATATAAATCGCCTAGGTATAATAAAAATAAAATTGATGATGGTTTACAACCAGCTTCCGCTAAATATAGGAAAATATCACTTAAACCTAAAACAGTAATGCAATGGGTTCCTTTGGAAGATGCCCATAAGTACGTAAATCGCTGTATGGTTCGGTTGAAACGTACGAATATGGAAGACTATATACCACTGTCGTTCATAAGGCGACAACGTAAAAGTTCAACGCGTTCCCAATAGCGAAACCACGATTTCAAATTAATAGTAACATACAATAATCATATAATTATATGTACTTAGTTTTATGGCAAGAAAATGAAATATTTACTCCACTCTACTAAAATAAAATGTCTAATAAAAGGACTAAATCATATTAACTTGTTTGCTTTTATTAAATAATGTCAGAACTATGGAAGTAGAGGGATCACCTGCAAACCTACTGCAATCTAAAAAAATATATTTTTAAATGAGTATAGGAAACGCCATTTTTATTAAAAAATGTCAGAACTATGCAAACCTACTGCAATCTAAAAAAAAATATATATTTTTAAATGAGCATAGGAAACGCCATTTCGGGGTTTCTAGATAAATCACACATTTTTTATATACATAGATACTGTCATGGAATAAGGTCAAATAGAGCCTTTTTAATTTTTAATAAGAATGGGAATTATATTCAGAAAGAATGGATATCCTGATAGCAAAATTGGGATACATATTGGACGGATAACAAAAAAAAAAAAAACGGATAATCTGGCGGATACTGCAATTCACTCCCATGTGAATATAGGGACTGCAGTAGCTAGCTATAAACAACTAACTGCCATATTTAATAACAATTCCAACCCGAGTGTGAGTTGCAATACGTAATCGACCCATCAGATATCTAAGCGTAGAAAATTTAATCAATACGTCTGACCCTTTTGTTTCTTTGCAGAGTAGTTACGAAATTTTATAAAAACCAAAGTCTTCAGCTGCAATTTACCATATCAACAAACCCTTTTCCCCACTAATGATAACTGAAACAAATTTTTTTTTTATTTCATATCGTCTTTTGCATATGTATATGTATATCTTTTAAATTTCGTTCACGCTTTTTTTTGCTTAATTTTATAAACAATTCCTTTTTAAACGTAAATCGTACTAAAAAAAAGAAAAATTAAATAGGAGGGAAAATGCTGAAAACACGAGTACACTTTTTGTTTAATATCAAAATTTCATATCAAAAATACAAAATAGTGCGGCGGCAGCTTCTTTACTCAGTGACTTTTACTTAGAATACATAAGCAGTAATTAAAAAATGTGTACCATTCCGTTATACACACCAACGGAACACATAAGAAACCATTTTAGAAAAAAGACTGTAATCATGTCATAAACAAAGTTGTACATTGTACATAAGAATTTCGGCAATAAATGGAACTTAAAATAAAATGCAAAATGTATGTATATTTGTATAGCAAGTAGAACTCAATTTCATTTTAGAAGATACATAAACAGATTTGTATGCACCTAAGCTAAATTTAAAGCAATGGCCAGTGTGATGGCGATGCGCAATAAACATCTCCGTCAATTGAATACAAACATGTACATATATAAGTAAGTATGTATATGTCTTTATGTCACACTACTTAGATAGCATCTGAGATTAAGGAAAATTTAGTTAAGATCCTTTCTAACACTATTCGATGCAACAGTTAAAGCTAAACATGAAGGTAAAATATTAGAAATGTTCAAATAATTTAAGAGAAATTTAAAAAAGTGTATTGCAAAGTAGCAGTATGTACATGTATGTTATGTGCCTTGTGGATAAAAAATACCAAGTCAAATATAGTCCGCGTCCATAACTGACTTGGCAGACTTCTTTAAAAGTAGGTAAAAATAAAAATTATCGTAGCCTCCTACTGTTTTAGGCAAGAACGAACATGCATATCCAAATTTGGCACGTTTGATAATATTAAAACTTTTTTCAATCCATACAGTACACAAAAATACAGATGAAAAAACGTATATATTTTCAATTTTAGGAAACAGATAACTATCGTTAAGAGTCAACATAATTCCTTTTTGGTTGTTGTTGTTTCCGACAGGGTGGGTGTATGATGTATTTTGGAACGAATTTCCAAACACTCAACATAATCTGCTTATCAAGCTTATTAATTGTATGATGAAATCTCCAAAAATTTAAGCTTGAAATAATTCTCTAAATTATTAAACGTGCGAAATGTTGAATATGCTTTGGCATGCATATGTATGTATGTATGTATATACATACGTAGCTCAGGTCATGGTACAGCCATTCCTATAAGCTCTCTCATTATTTTCAAATGGATATCCATACATCTTTCATTAAAAAAACTTCTTTGATACATACATATATGTATGTATGCATGTATGCTGATCTGTTACAACTATTTTAATTGAGATATGAGCTTAAGAGTGTTGTATACGCTTCACGATCGCCATCTTTACGCCTAGTCAATTAAAACAAAACAATAGGACAAATAACGTTTGCTTATGCATCAGTTTATACAAATTTTTCAACAATAATAATTATTTATAATCCCGGCAATTTTCATTGTGTAACAGTAAAACTGATCTCTTCTGAGTGACCTAGTAAGTACACGTCGTAGTTCTCGACTAATAATTACCAAATCTATCTTTAAATATAAGCCATTTTTCTTAAGAAATTGGGTACTTAAATTTTTAAACGACTTCAAAAAAGGAGGAAAGGTTATCAGTTCAACAGAATTTTTTATAACGATTTAATAGATAACGGCTCTGAACTTACTCATATTTACCGTTATGATGTAGAATTGCGAAAAATTGTATTGTGTCTCCTTGGAATAAATGTCGTAATTGCACGTCTGGCTTTGTGGGACTCGGCCAAAATCGCTTAGGCGGTTACAAAAGAAGAATTTTAATTAAAATAGACTATTCAAGACATGACTAATCGAATTTTGACAAAAAAAAAATGCCGTAGAAATGAGAAAAAACTGGCGCAATTTCTATTTTTTCCGAAAAATTCACATAATGTACCATTTTTCTACTTTTTTCTTTTACTTTTAATAAATATTCTTAATTTTAAGCCCATATTTAAACTAGCATATGAAATAGTTAAGCTGAAAATTTTTAGTTGGAGTTTTCAAACACAATTCTGTAAACTACTCAATAATGCCTACGACGTGTACTCGGTTACTTAAAAATTTCGTGCAAGTATTCTTTATTTTGTTGCACCGTGTTATTGTTAGAAAACCTTAAAAATCTAAGTTTAATGGGCTTAACGTTGAAGAGGAAGCGTACCTCTATAATGTAATTTACATATCGTCGCTACCATGTCAAACTATCGAATGTGAAAATGGGTACTTTTCAGGAAAAGAAAAAAACGTTTGCAAAAGAACTGTTGCAAAAAATGTTGTTATCATTAGGAAAAAGTGTGGGATTCTGCTTCTAAGAAGACTAGAAATTCGACGATTTGCCAACTCACGTATCATTTTAAACGCATGCGCAAGGTATCGTAAATGGAAAAGCATTTTAGCACATTCGATAGTTGGACATGGTAGCGACGATATGTCATTTGAAAAATATTAAAATTTGTTGAAAAACAGCTAACATACATAACAACGCATAGCACTAACGAAATGAGTTTTCCAACGGTTGGTAAACTTGTGTAAATGTGTTTGTGTGTGTGTTGTGTTTATGTAGGTATGTGTATACATAATTCGTGTCGCTTGTTCATGTTCTATTCGCCGTTCCCTCTAAAACAGGGTACCTATTAGCGTTCCGATATTCATACTGGAACCCTCCCGAAATTTCAAGCCCACTCCTTTGCCATATGCGCGGATAAAGGTGCCACGGACAGCATTCAAACGCTTTTCACGTCTAATGAATATATAAAAAAAATATAGAGAACTTAGTTGTTTAGTAAATTTAATGTACAATAAAATTGTTAAAAACTTACGCTGTTAGTAATTTTTTCCGATTCGACATCGTTGCTGCCAAATCAGCTGTGTCAGCATTAGCGCTTGTCTCGACACCTTCGGTGGTCGTCGGCAACATATGGATACCGTTGTAGCTGCCTGCGCTGCCATTGCTGCTGACGCTAGTATTATGTATGCTTGAACCACTATCTAAGGTGTCGCTGCCGCTGTTTCTACTGGAACAACTACTGGAGCCATTACTTAATGGAATGCCGTTGCTTGAATGCTCCGAATTACTCTCTGAGCGTTGCGCAATGAAGTTTCGCATATAACTGCCCGTTATCTGTGAATCTATGGAGCCAGTATCTGTAACTACTTGCCAACTGCCATTCGATGATACCGATTCTTGACGCTGGCGTGTAGTTGGCACCGATATAGGACTAGTGCGTGAGCTGGAGAGGAAGTGGTGGAATAAATACATGTATGTATGTATGAGATCATGTGCACAATATGCATATCGCATAATTCGATAAAATGTCATACCGTTTAGGATTTGGCGAACGACTAGTAATTGCATTATTAATTGCTGTTGTTGCTTGTGGTGGAGAAGCATTAGCCACTACCAATCCATAAAAGGAATCATTTATTGCCATTTCACCGTTGGAATAACTATCGTTACTGTCTTGATCGATGGCGGCTTGAAGCAATTCTCTGCAGAAAAAAGTGTATTAAATAGTATGAAACTTTGACGCAAAAATAAACAAGAAAGCGAGTTGATACTAGTAAACGCGATCAAAAAGGCGATAACTAATAACATACTCTCGAATAGGTGCATCATCGTCCTGCTTCAGCGTTACTATGTTACTACTACCGCTACAGCTACTACTGCTTGTTTTTGTTCGTTTCCTAAAAACAAGGAAACATATTTTAGAATACTAGTAAGTAAAGCAAACTCAAACACTAAATTAATTGCAAAAGTGCCCATGTAACAGCTACAACGACTACTAAATACAGCATACAAGTACGTACCTATGCTCGACTAAACTAAACTCTTCGCCGGTTATAAATTTCAGCATATGAAAGCAGAAGAGCATTATATCTTCGCCACGTTTTTCCCGATCGGGAAGTTGATGACCGAACAAATACCAATCGTAAGCCAAAGTCAAGTAAGTGATCTGCATATAGTCTAGCGATTGATGTATAAGACCGTCCGCCCAAAGCGATAAGCGTAGCAAGGAAATGAAGAGCGGTGTACGATCCCACCCGCTGATACAGTGCACCAGCAGGCCAGTATTCTCCTCCTGTACATACTTCAGCATTGCTTTGAGGTAATTTTGTGTGATTTCCACTAGGTCCCATTTCTGGTAATCCTCCCAGTTAACATCAAGGTCCATTGCTGGCCCAATTTTCGGTATGCTGATATTGGCATCGTTGAATGGCAGTTTCCAATTGTAGTGTAAATTATTTGCCATATAATTGTTGTCGCGAAATTTTTTAAAGAATTCACAACCGGGATATGGCAGGGAGAGTATGTTAAATTTATCGTAGTTATTTTCGGGATCAGCTTTCTCCGAGGAAGATACACTGTAATGAATAAAGGACTACATATGAATGAATTGATAGAAAATCTTTTGGAAACTGAAACTGAAATACGGAGTCCACCAAACGATTTCGGGTGAACGGCATTTCACATAGAAATTTCGAAGTTGAGTCAAAGCCATAAATTAAGTAAACAAAAAGTTTGGACCATTCATACGAATATTTTGTACATTTGTGAAAATTAGCAGTTGTTTTGCGGTTTTATCTGTGCGAGTGACAGTTATTTCAGCCGTAAAGACGATATACGGTAGTGTCAAAATTATTCGAAGAGAACTACTTTGCTTGGTGAATATTCAATATACAGTAGGTGAACTGCATGGGCGAAATGTGAACGAGTTTTCACGGAATGAAAAAGGTGATATACGCTTTCTTAGCTTACGTAACACAAAAGAAAGGGGAAGAAAAGAAGGCCGCCTTGCGAAATAGTTCTAACTTTAGTACTCTTTTTCATATCAAAGTAATGAATCAAAATTTGTCGAGAAATTAGATTTTTGAAAATTTTATATTACTTAATTTATGCTAATAAATATATCTTGCGCGATAGTTGTAAAATAAATGTTCACTAAGTTAAATATTATTTCATATAAATAGGTATACTGTAAAAAAATTTTTAATTAACGTTTTTGGACTCAAATGCATCATCTATTGAATAAAATCAGAAAGATACAAGTACCATTTTTAGTTGTTTTTCTTGAAAATCGCTGTATTATAAAAAGTAGTTTCTCAAAGAAGCACATTGGAATTTTCTAAGGGAGCTTAAATTGGCGATTATAGTGAGAAAAACGGGAACGTATGATACCTTTATTTATTGCATCATGAAAATATGCAGTTAGTTCTTAAGCTTGATTCAATAATTAACAATTATTACTGAATCAAGGTTCTTAAAGACTATGTTAGAATTTATTCCTTTGTACAAATTTACTTACGTCATAAAGTATTTGACTTTCCGTTTTTCTACCATCAAGTCGACGATTGTGTTGACATTGAGCGTATTCAACAGCGAAACATCATTTTTAATTACTTCGCTATAAGAAAACGGCAACGGCCCATCGTTGAATAGAGAAGATTCCTCCGAAGATTCAGTGTTTTCATCACCGTTGGTGCGTTGTTGTGATTCGGTACCAACCGACGTTATGCGATCGTAAGCGTAACGAGAATACGTTTCATGCACCACAGATAATGTGGCCGAGCGACAAATTAGTTTGCCGCGATAAAGGATGACCGGCACAACGAAACGTTGCCGACAACGCGCATATCGAGCATACGTTATAAAATCGCGAATTTTGCTAACATCATATAGATCCTCGTAGATGGTGCGCTGCTTTTGTTGCGACTGTTGAGGTCTTGCATGCTTGGGTGCCACGGACACAAACGATTGTATATTGGTATCGCCATCAATGACATTCCCTGTGCCACTATCACAACCATTACTATTACTATTATTACCAGTATGCCCAGTTACAGATGTTGCTGACGTTACACCGTTCGGGCTGCTCCCATTGACGTCATCTACTATCGATGGTATTGCGGGGGCTCTAGTGCGCTGTGGTGGGATGGATTTAAAGTTTTTCAAATCAATTCCATTGGTAGTATAACCGTTCCCACTTTCGTAACCGCTGGTGCTGTTGCAACTACTTGGTATATTGGCAGTACTTACGCTGCCAGTAGAGGCCATGTGGCCATATTCGTATTCGGGTATAAAAATACGCGGAGGATAACGTGCACTTAGTGCACCACCAGGGTTTTCCAGGTCAATAACGCTGTAGTCAAGTTTCATAAGATATTCGCAGTTGTTCAAGGTAACCGAGTCCTATAAAAAGAAAAGAAAATACAAAGTTATCATTCAAACTGGATGAAGTATATACAGTGATGAACAAAAGTATTGGCACACTGCATTTTTCGCATCATATTATACGATTTGAAGTAGTCGGAATATAAAGATTGCCATAAGAAAANCATACAGTGATGAACAAAAGTATTGGCACACTGCATTTTTCGCATTATATGTAAAGTTTTTTATTTTCATTTATTTTCGATCATTTCTTATAAAAATATTGCTCATACTACACCAAAAAACATAAAAATCAAATCTCTTAGCTTTGTGCAAAACTCAGGAAAATTCAATAAATTTTCATACTAATTTGCTACTTTCTATTAAGATTTTATAGAAAAAAAGTATGCTCGTATGAATGACTTGTTCATTGTAGAGTTCTGATATGGAATTAATAATTCAACTCGTCAAATGTTACCCCATATTATACGATTTGAAGTAGTCGGAATATAAAGATTGCCATAAGAAAAATGAAGCAGCGCAGAGTATCGCACCTGTTTGAGGTCCTTTGCTTTTTATCGTTATTGCAACAAATACGATATCATATCGCACCGGAAGTATCACATCTGTTTACGGCCACCTTCATTCAAGTTGGTTTTCAAGGAACTTCACTCTGCGCTCACCATAAGCGCATCCGAAAAAAGAAACAAAGTAACGAATTGAAAACGCCAGAAATCTCCCCCACCCAATGCCGGAAGAAAAAATCGAGTCAAAAGGAGGCCTTCATTCCATTTATATCGAAAGTTCAGTTCAGTTGATAACTTTGATAAGTCTATAAAGATTCGTTCCTAGTATGTATGTATATATGTATGTATGTACATGAGTATTTTGTTTAAGATCTTATTTTATTTTATCCCCAATGCCTTCATAAAAATCACCAGTTTCGTACTTTATGAGAAGGTCAGCGCTTAAAATGGGTCAAAACTTATGTAGAAATTCGCTCACTGTTTAGAATTGGCTACGGCCAAGTTATAACTTAACACGCATAAATATGCATAGACAATACTTTTCAATTAATAAACAAGGAATTCAGCGAAATCATTGCCACATCAACAATAAAACGCATACGTGTGACTAGGAAAAAAAAAATAAATGAATAAAAAAATATACAAACCAGAAATTGCAACGCTGTCAATGAGGTCAATGAAATGTTGTTGACTTTGAGATGCGACAACATTCTGGAGTGTAAAAATCAGCAAAACATACATATACATGTAAGCGCACACGGAACGTAAACATGTAAACTAATCACGCAGTAGACCGGCCGGTTGAGTATATGTATAGGTAGGTAATAAATACATTAGGGTGATCAACCATCGTAATGTTTTTTTTTGCTTTTGTTATGTTTTAAAGAATTTAAAATTAGCACTCTGAGGATCTTGGCAGACATAAGCGAAATATTTTTCACATCTACATGCATTTCTGCATCAAATAGAAAATTTTACAAAAATGCCGCTTACGTTTTTTGGTGGTTACGGCTCGATATGAATAATAATCAAAACTAAGAATAAATAAACAAGTAAAGAGTTGTCGATATCGAAAATTCGAGAAGGGCTGTAGTTAGTTTGAGTAAGAATAAGTTGAAAGAGGGCTCTCTCTCTTCCCTATTTCAAAGCCTTAAAAAGGGTGTTTTTAGAGGTTAAATTTTTAGATGAAGATTAAACGGTCTCGAATCGATCAGATCTGGTAATGCTGTTATCAATTAAGCTCAGATTGGTTTGCCATTTCATCATGAAAATTACAACGAAAAAACCGCAAACATTTGGTGAACGCGTTATTTCTCGGAATGGATCAGCCGATTGGCCACCGATATTGTGCGAATTTAAAGCTTCTAGATTATTTTTTCTGAAGTTACGTGAAGTCAAGGGTTCATGCGAAAAAACTGGAAGCTTTTGAGCCTTAGAAGACGGCAATGTGCGAACAATTGTCGAGATATGGTCCCCATTGCTTGGAAAAGTGGTCGAAGGTAGGACTTCCAAAATTCGTCCCACCTGTGCCAACATTTATGGCATAAAACGATCTAAATATTTGAAGTCTTTCCTGCAATGAAAAGGCTCCTCACTATCGTAGCTTCCTCCATTTTTGAGAAGAGGGATCAAACTTGTTCTTCATTGGTGCTATAACCGCATAAGCAATTTTTTTGAAGAGTTGGAAAAGCAACAAAACATGTGCTAGATTGCTATGTAGCAACTTTACACCTAAAATGCTACTCAACGTTAGCTCCCCTTATGTATGTACATGAGTATGAATATGGAGAATATTCTGCTAAAACAAAAAAAAAAAAACACCTTAGATTAACCATGGGTCCAATGAATCCGATCGGTGGGAAAGTCAAGCTTTTATGTGGTAGACAAAAAACACCTTAGATTAACCATGGGTCCAACGAATCCGATCGGTGGGAAAGTCAATCTTTTATGCGGTAGACACAAGGTTAAGCGTGGTCCACTAGATGTCTTTTTCGTTATAAGTAGAACGAACACTATTTCTGCCAGCAAGCATATGAAGCTCTTCACACTTCTGTATTTCGGAGTGATAGAAAGGGTGAACTTTTTTTATTCAAAAACATTAAATAAACAGATCTGTCATTCTCCAAAAATTAAAATATTTAGATCTACCCTAACAGTGAATATATTTTTTAATGTAGTCACCGTGAGGGACTTTAAGCCTTAAACTGGGGTTTTTATGCACAGACAGAAGCGTTTTTAAGTTGCAGTTGTGAACATAACCACAACTGTAGCAATTCAATATTTGGGCGTGCCGAAACCTACTCCTACACACAAAGCATTTGCGCTGCCAGCAGGCAAAAAAGAGATATTAAACGCAGCATATATGTATGTATGAATGTATATTTATGCGCACGTGTTCGCACATATTGTATGCTTNGACTTTTTTTTATTCAAAAACATTAAATAAACAGATCTGTCATTCTCCAAAAATTAAAATATTTAGATCTACCCTAACAGTAAATATATTTTTTAATGTACAGTCACCGTGAGGGACTTTAAGCCTTAAACTGGGGTTTTTATTCACAGACAGAAGCGTTTTTAAGTTGCAGTTGTGAACATAACCACAACTGTAGCAATTCAATATTTGGGCGTGCCGAAACCTCCTCCTACACACAAAGCATTTGCTCTGCCAGCAGGCAAAAAAGAGATATTAAATGCAGTATATATGTATGAATGTATATTTATGCGCACGTGTTCGCACATATTGTATGCTTTTATTTTTAATTTACTCATAAATGAAGTTTGTAATCCAGCATATCGCCGGTTATTAACACGTTAAGCCGGTTTTAGTACTTAAGTAGGTAGCTGGCATACAAGGAGGAATATGTACATATGTATGTAGATAGTACAATAACAATTCCAAAGTGCGAGACAATCAACGGTAAACAATGGAAGTGACTGACACGTGTTGCATTCTANGATAGTACAATAACAATTCCAAAAGTACGAGACAATCAACGGTAAACAATGGAAGTGACTGACACGTGTTGCATTCTACTGAATTGCATTTCAAAAAAAAAAAAAAAGGAAATTTTTTGCAACTTTCAATGTTGCACACATAATGATGGGAATCAAAAAGCATCAACGAAAGCAACAGCAGTACAGACTCAAGAACACGTACATACATATGTATATATGTATGTTTTTATAGATACCTACGAACATTAAAATCAAAACAATAATCAAAGCCGCACCCTGCCCTTTGGCGGCGGAGTGCAACACAAAACAGCACACAATACAACCGTATCTCGTGTGGCCACTGTTGCTTTTGCTGTTGCATAGTAAGGCCATCGTCTCAAGTCTAAAGAGCTAAAAATAACAAAAATGTGATATATGTATGTACTTGTGTAGCTTACTTTTATACATAGAGTCATCGCTTGCTGCACTCGGTACATTCACACAACCAGCAAGTTTGTTTATAAAAGAATAGCGAAGGCGGCTAAAGGGGCGCCAACCTCCACCAACCAGTTCGAAAGTTGCGGCGAATACTTTTCTTTTTTACCTTTTTCTGTATATGTTCTTTTTTCTAAAATACGACTACGACTAAATGACGCCGCTGCCGGCGCAATGTTCAATGTGCACAATATAATGCAGTAAAAATACAAGGAAACTGTAATAAAACAAAAAGCAAAAAATAAAAATAAAACACGTGAAATAAATCGCGGAATGCATTTACGTAGCAGCGATGTGAACAATTTTATTGCACAGTGGAGCAAACCAATGAAAACGCCTATGTACAATATTTGGTTAGTTGGTAAAGTGAAAATGAAAAATTAATATTTAGTTAAAATTATAGCGACCGCGCTGGTATCGAGCCCAGTTTCCGACTAACATCAAAAACAAAAGAAAATAATAAACTTTTTCTAAAACTAGTCGCCCCTCGGCAGACAATGGCCAACCTCCAAGTGTATTTCTGTCGTGAAAAAAAAACTTTTAATAAGAGAACTGAAAGTAATGGCTGAATATGCCTGAAAAATTGTTGGGAAACGACCCCAATTCATCCCCATTTAGGTGCGACGAATAGGAGAAAATTCGAAGAGCTTTCATATTAAAAAAAAAAAAACTTTTGCGTGAACTTCACGCGCTGCTAAAGTGAAACTTCTTTCTGTTCTTGCTGTCCTTAATATTAATCTTGCCCTACTACGCCCGCCATCATCCCCTCTCTTCTTCGGACGCTTTTTCGTTTCATCGGAGTTAGGAATTATAGCCAACTGAGTGCACAGAAGTTTCACTTATCGATCCAAAAATAGCTCCTCTTATGTCGAAAAGGCTGTCAAATTGAGAAATTTCAGAAAGCAGTTGCACAAGCAGTCACACCTTGCATATAAAGTGTCTTTCGAAACGGGTTTTTATTTCAGAAACACGAATTCGAGGAAAAAATTTTCACTGAGCTTCTTGGCTGTTCACACAGCGAATAAACTTCTGGCAATCTTTCTCGATACTAAAATGCAACCGTGATCCGCTTTGCCGGTTGTTTGTTAATTAAGATTAATTTATTAATTTTATCTAAAAGATAAATTCCGCAAAATAATTAATGAAAAGTATTTCTGATATTTCATTTAAATTATCCGTTAGTATTTCTCACAAACTCGCGATAAGTGTCATAAATTTCTGAAACTGATTTCCGAAAAGTGTCCGAAAGGTCTTTCTGGCTGTTCACACATGGAAATAAAATTTCTTTTTCTCAATTTGACATCGAATTGCGTGGAAAAGTTGGAAATATTGCCACGTTTGACACGCTGTCAATGCTGACTCTGCAAACCTATCGGTATATGAAACTTTGCTGATACAATACGTTCGTTTGAAATCTCCAGTAAAAAACATCCAACAGCGAAATTCCGGCGAAATGTCATCATAAAAGAAAAATATCCAGAATAGTACGAGAACAGAAAATTTTCAAAAATTTGCAAGTTAGACGAACAGCTGATCGAATTGTTGTTTATATTCAGGAGTGTAAAATTTAAAACGTACGAAAACTCATCACAAAGTGTTATCTTGACACACTTTATTGATTAAACGAATAAATACTTACTTCTTACAAGTTTAATTAGTCGCATTTAATCATTTTTGACTTCAAAACCATCAAATTCAATTTTGTGATTTGCGTGAACTCATACCAGCTGTTTTTGACCAACTGTTTTTCTGTTGGCAAAAATTTTTTCCAGCAGAAACTAACAGCTTCCCTTAAAAATTAAATGTAACTTTGCTCTCTCAATTTCCCCTACTTTGCAAGTTTGTTGCGTACGCGAACGCAAAAAGCTGATAGTTTTTCATAACTTTCAATAATTAACAGGTACTCGAATGCTACTAATAATAGATAAACCTTGCTCAATTGTAGATAGGGATCCCGTACGAGTCCGGACTAGTCAGAATAAGTAAGATTTTACTGGAAATCGATCCCGTACTCGGTTATCAGACAAACGAGAGAACAAAAATGAGAGAACAAAAAAGAGCGTAAATAAAGTCCGCTCTCTGTCAGAAGTTACCAGTTTTAGTCCGAAGATCTTTCGCTGGTAAATATGTCAAACGATCAACTGTAGTGTGAAAATTTGGAGGTTAATTTGAAATTTTCAGAAGTTACAATTTTTTACTGCATAGAAAGCGATCCCGTACTTTTCAGTGTTACTCTCTCGCTCTGAGAGAATTTTTATTTTTTGACAGTTTTACTAGTTTTGGGCCGAGGTATACAGGATTGCATCTAGTACAAAATCAGGAAAGTACACAGAAAAAAAATACATACGCTCGCATTAAGACAGATTATTATACCCACTGTGCATTTTGATTTTAGTGCAAAAAACCGCTGTAAAATGCATTCATACATACATATGAATGCACTTATGTACACACATACATATATCGATAAAAGTCACACAGCAACACGTCATCAACGGCAGAGAGAACGTCACCACTACCTGCACAAGTCACAAGAAGCTAATTCAAAGGCAACACCATTCAACTAACCGAGAAACCAAAGTCGACCGGTAGATGCCCAGTACAAGCTTGCGATCTCTTCCCTGCAGTTAAATGCAAATTTGCCAACTGTTTGTGTTTGCCTGCACTGCACAACGCCCCGCCACAACTGAACAATGCAATTGGTGTTGTCGTTGTCGAGCTGCTGCTATATGTACATAGTATATGCATCGCCGCCTGCCATATTCCATTCGAAGTGAGCATGCTACGATCGCATCTGGGCGCCTGTTACCACGTTCGAGTGATAGTCCGCAGCAATGTGCGCGCACTACTCACACGAGTATCGGCGCTCGCTTCACAGCACTGCAATTGCATGCACTCTAGTAGTAGCTAAGTAGTTTCCATAGTTTGGCTCAAGTAGCAGACCGGTGGCGGTGCTGCCTGACTGACTGTTTCGACTGCTTGGCTGATTATTGCTTGACTCGCTTTACATATTTATGTGTGGCACTTTACGGTTACAGCTATAGTCAGCCGGCATTCAGCGACGCACCAACGCATAATAAGTATTATGAATAATGAAAACAGAGTGTTGCTGCTGCTGCGGCTGCGGCTGCTGACTGCAAGTCAACGATTGTGCAAAACCCGGATTTTAAAGACTTTTCAACTGCTGGGTAAACAGCAGCAGCAGACGCGTGCGCTCCCAATCACAATATCGCTTGGATGGGTAGCTGGCTGCTCACTTAGTGCAACTTTGCCACGTTTAGATACTAAGCTGCCAGCAGCTTGCTTTTATTGCTAAATGCCACTGAGCGCAGCCCACACCCACCCAGCCAACATCGCGATAGCACGGTTCCATTCGAGTCGTGGTGCTGAAGCTGTAGCTGTAGCTGTAGTTGCAGCAGCTCTGGTCGTGATGTTGTCGTTTGCTGTCCTACTGCTTTTCTTCATTTCTGTGGCGTTGAGAGTTGTTGGAGTTGAATGTCGACACACTTTTGGAAAAAATGCGCCGCTGTAATGCATTTGAAGTCATTGTCGGTTATATATTTTTTTTTACAAGTATCTAGCCATGAATGAAAGCCAAAAGTAAGCACAAAGCAAATACCCAAATACCTCTGTATATATATTCGTACTTGGGTACATATGTATGTAAGTTTGCAAGTAGTATACATACTGATGGCCAAATTTTGTTATGCATAAAACCGGTTAAACATTTTTAACTTTGTTTTGTCTATGCAGTTACATATATTTCTTTTTTCTCCGAAGAGTTTAACAACCATTTGATGTATGGAATTATTAGTTGTTTTAGATAAATTGCAACTTTCAAGCTTTTGACCAAAATGGTAGTAGGCACACTCACATACATACATACATATCGTCGCCTGGGTAAAAGATTGTCGTATGTTAATTTCGGCAGATTGTGGGAAATCGCGATTGAAGTTTGGAATGCAATTTCTCAAAAACGCGAAGTTAGATTTTCTCCAAAGTCTCTGAAAATGTTAATAGTTCATAAAATTCTTAAATTATTTAATTTTTAATGTTTATTGTTAATTAGTTTTGAGTTTATGAAGGATTTCCTTTAGTAAAAGTTTGTCGTAAGCGTCATGATGATTTGGGTGTTTCCAGCGAAAAGTCTACCGCGTAAAACAATTTAAAGTCCTATATCTAACTTAGTCATAGGCCGATTTGACTGCTATTTAAAATATATACTGGTTATGTAAGTAGAAACATTTTTGCCAAAAATAGTCTCGTTTGGTGGTGCTGGGTCGAGATATTTTGAAAACCCGTATTTATGTTCTGTTTTGTGTCACATTTGGCATGTTTAGTTGACACGTAATAAGTAAGCTCAGAGTCTCATGCACTAAAAATTGAAAAATTTGCGCTATAAACAAGTAAAATATGCAATTAAAACATTTTCCCAATATTTTATTGCTGGTACGAAAATAAATAACAAAAGTGTTTTAACAAAAAAATAACAAAAAAAAAAACAATACAAATTTATGTATAAAATTAGTTTATAATCAAGCAGACAGTTACAAACTTGTGTAAATAGAAACATTGACACTTTAATAGTGGTTCATATTAATGTTTGGTTGCTTTAAGTGCATTGTCTCCCAGGTAAAAAGCAATTAACAAGTTTGCCATTTACATTACACAACTCGTAAAACCTACAGCTATTTGGCGGCTTTAATGAATTTCAGTACGTCATACACAGAGAGGCAGGCAATTGCTCTCTAAAACATACTGCTTGGCCTTCAAGTGATAAATTTCGGTAATTTTGGCGTGGGACACATTCAGTGCTAAGCTGCACTTTGATAGTTCGTCAGCTCTCTCCTAAGTCCTCCATTAGTTGGGATTTGAAAGAATTTAAGGTATTTTTGTTTTATCAAGAGATTTCGCACAAAATTTAAATAGTTGTAAATAAAATAAAAAAAATAATAAAAAAATATGCAAAAACCATATGCATTTATTGTAAAATATAATAAAATATGCGTAATAAATAAAATATGCTAAAATAGGCTTTTTTGCAAAATATGCAAAATCATGCATTTACTGCAAAATATGCATTGGATCGAATATTGAATGCCATTTTAAAAGAAATTTCATGATTCGTATAGCTAACTTAACCATTTCCATTTGAAGATGACTAGTAAAAACATGCATTTGCACGAGATTCCGAATCCTAGAATAAGACATTGATTTGCAAAAAATGGAGCTCGACATAAAATGCATGTTTTCTTCCCGTCAAACAATTTTTTCAAGAAGAATATTAACAAAACTTTCAATGGAAATTTGAGCAGAAAAGATTTCTACATTTAAAAATTTAAAAATCTTATTATTACTAGGTAAGACAAAAATATGCAAATGCATATTGCATATCGATGGCTGAGTGGAAGATCGACCTATCTCGGCTGCCAGTTCGAAAACGCTCTATCTCAAAAAACTTTTCAAGAACGCCCTATTTCAGAATTTTATTGAAAAACACCCTATCTCAAAATTCGGTTCAAAAACGCCCTATCTCACTTCAAAATGTATTGAAAATATGCTGATATAGGGCGTTTTTGAATCGGCAGCTGAGATAGGGCGTTTTTGAATCGAATTCTGAAATAAGGCGTTCTTGAAAAGTTTTTTGAGATAGAATGTTTTCGAACTGGCTGCCGAGATAGGTCGATCTTCCACTCAGCCATCGATATGCAAACACATATTATGACACAAAATACATATTTTGGAGAATAAGCATAAAAATGCGTAACAATTATTAGTTTGATATGTAACTTAATTTTCGCATAATTTCATCGGACAATACATTTGCGGAGATAGCCAGGGTTGCTGACGAGGTTTGTTTAATTGACAAAAAGAAACAACAATGCAAAGTCCCGTTATTTTCTAGTAAACAATTTTAAAGTAAAAATTTTTCGACTGTCGTTTTTCAATAGCGAAGTTTCGCGCTAAACCGGTTTTGGTAGTTGAAAAATTCAATGAAAATTTTTCGTTTTTAGCGTAAGCTGTTCAACAGTTTCCAGGTGTGTTGCGAACTGAGCAGCGAGTTTTATTCAGCATCTATTGTAACTTCTCAGTATCCGAAACAATATATTTTGTGTGAAGCAACATTTTAATAAAATGTTGCAATATTTTCACCTGGAGAATTGTCATCTTTTAAATTCTGTCCAACAAAGTCTTGTGACGTAGAGCGTTCATTTTCAATACATATAGTATGTATGTATGTAAAAAACTTTTTATGCGATAATCGACAAAATGTTCGTTTCACATATGCATTTTTTGGGCATATATCAAGCATATTTTTAATATTTTCGAGTCATTTTAGTGATAATATAATTAAGTTTTTTGTGCATATTTTTGTCTTCCCTAATCTTATTACATTAAACGAGCAATTTTTGTACATATTTACATATATATCCATAGCTTTCTCGGAAACGGCTCAAACGATTTTGATGAAATGATGTTTATTAAAAAAGTAGCGGGAAAAGGTTTTTTTCATTAAAAAATCTTATTTTTGCGAGCACTAACTGAACGATAAAGATACGAGGGCTGAAATTTTGCCACAACTATTTTTTGTGACCGATAACGAAATTTTCATATGGGACCTATAGAAAGAAATTACTAGTTTTATTTGACACAGTCTTATGTGCATACATATGTATGTACATATATTAATATACTCGAGTCGAGTAAGAAAATTACCTATCTAAGGAATGGACCTGTATTGAAGCTTTGTAACAGCTCTGCCTCACAACTTGGCCATTTTTAAATGAATGTTTTTAGTTAACGCCTTCATTCTTCTTCTTTTGGCTTAGTCTATTTTGACAGAGTTCAACCTAATGCAACAGTCGTTTCTTCTTCCTCATTTTTCTTCTTTTTTTGCACCGTTTGTCCTTTTCTTCGCGAAGTTGCGCCAATTGCTCATCCCGCGCAACCAAGCTCTTGCTGACCTACTCGTACCGACAAGGCGAAAGTATCCTTCGGGAGTATAAAGTTTTGTTGCAGATAATTATAGTTGTGAGATTGCAGATGATTTTCCCAATACTTGTATTCAGCATCTGCTTCTCGATACCATAACGTCGGAGACTTAGCTCTCTATTTATCGTCGATGTTATTGAAAAACCGCCCATCGACCAATTGCAAAATCGCCTATCTTACGGTACTCAGATTTTACAGCAGGAGACCGTAAAAACGGTTTTTCTTTTCTCTAGCTATTATTTTACAAATCTGTTGATTTAATAACGATTTTACGATTTGTATGCATAAATCCGGTGCCGGCGGAGTTCAGGGTTATGAAATCTCATTTTTGCCACAACAGCGATTTAAGCGGTTTTGCAACTGGTCAATGGGCGGTTTTGCAAAAACATCGACGTTATGCAATTGAAATTGTAGAATATGTGCTCCCGCGCACGTGGTAGAAACTAATAGACTTACTTGCCTATTTTCCATTTGCTTATGCGCCATTTGCATTAGGAATTCCAGTAAGTAAGTATTAATCGAAATAGAATAACATGAAGGTATCGACACTAGTCTGAGATCACTAAAGCCAAATGAATTTTAATCAACACTTGTATAATGAAATTACAGATTTTTAATTTTAATAAATTACACAAATACAGCTAAAACTTTTTGGAGCTAAGAAAGTGGTAAATAATTTTGAAAACAGCTAAAAAAGAGCTAGGAGCTAAATCGCAATTTTCGGAGCAAAAAAGGACAATAAAGAGCTAAATCTAACCCTCCATTACGATAAAAATTCATTTGTATGTAGTTGAATGAATAGT